GGGATACATAAGATACCACACCCCCCACAGGATACCACACCGGTGATAAAATATTTTTAAACTCAGAAATGTTACCACAGGGGTGTGTTATCTTGTGTCAGTATATCTATAGATGGAGATGGATTTGTTGCGTGATATTACGGAAATAAAAAGAATCAAAAATAAGGGAGGACGCCTCCCACGCCCGCGCTAAGAAAAATATCAAAGGGTAACGTACCAGCACCAGGCACTACGCACCAGGGCATGGGAGTAACGGAGCAAACAGGTTAAAGAGGCGGCAGATGGGCAGACAGCCAGACGTACAAAAACAAAAACAGCAAAGCGAGATCAAGGTACCCAACACAGCAGAGTGTAAACAGCCGAATACATCCCGAAGACCAGGAACGCGGAGTTTGCAATGCGTCACGTGAGAAGGGCTTTGCTTCACCACCGACCTCATCCAATCTCCCGATGACTTCCCCGCAATTTCTCGCCAACCTTGCCACCGTACAATTCAATCCCGCGCCAAAAACCCCAGATTTCCTTCGTTCAATCGTACACTTTTCCACGAGTAGATTTAGTACAGTGGAGTATGTTTAGTAGAGTATCGAGAATCTGTACTAACGGTTGAGTGGAGTAGAGTATGAGAGAGGTGAATACTCTACTCACCTGAGTAGAGTACAGAGGTTAGGTACAAAACTCAAAGAGTGTGTTTAGTAGAGTATCGAGAATCTGTACTAACGGTTGAGTGGAGTAGAGTATGAGAGAGGTGAATACTCTACTCACCTGAGTAGAGTACAGAGGTTAGGTACAAAACTCAAAGAGTGTGTTTAGTAGAGTATGAAAAGCCGTACTAAACCGCAAGAGTATGTTGAGTAGAGTATGAAGAGCCATACTATAAAGTGAGTATGAGTAGAGTATGAAAAGCCGTACTATACTCAAAAAGATGTTTGGTAGAGTATTGAAGAGCCGTACTTGCAAAAGTTTTAGTAGAGTACGAAGAGCTGTACTAAACGCCACAGTATTCTTAGTAAAGTATGAAGACCTGTACCAAACGCCACAGTACGCTTAGTACAGTACATGTACTGACAATACTGACACAACAACTACTCCGTGCAAGCGTTGATTTGATTGCATGATAAACATACACATACACATAAACATATTACACCCCCCCCCTCGATGCTCCGTCGCCCCCTCCGTCTCCGTTCTTACCAATCTCACTAAACTAAAACTAAAACAAAAACTATTTTAAGAGTACCCTCGCACCGGGTTCTTCAACACAAGACGCGCAACAAGACAACGAGGTGGTCGTCGTGCCGGGCTCAACGAGTGGAGAAGCGCCACAGCAGTCAGTGACCACCTCGTTGTCTTGTTGCGCGTCTTGTGTTGAAAAACCCGGTGCGAGGGTACTCGTACCGGGAGAACCACCCGCATCGGGAGCAGATGCGGCCGAACCACCGCTCGCGTAACTCATGCTCAGCTGCCACTATCTCCCCTGCGGGCCACTACCTGAGTACCCCAGTATCTGAGTACGCGAGCGAGCGAGCATCGGAGCCTGGAGCCCACCACCACTCTTTGCGGCGAGACTGTCTACTTTCTGCTGNGGTACCCAACACAGCAGAGTAGGCAGGGAGGTCATGAAAAAAAGAAACACAGCACAGAGGCCGAAGGCAATAAAAAGGACGTACATAAAGGAGTATAGCATATNCTACTTTCTGCTGAATAGTGACGTCACCAACACACCCTTTGGTGGAAGGTGGTAGGTACTCTGAGTTGAGTATGGCGGGCTGTACTATAAACGGGGCGGTAGGGGGGCGGAAGGAAACGGCGCGGCGGGAAGAAAGCAAGCGAGAAGAGACCGACCGCGTGACGTGACATGTTGCGGTCGAATTTCAACGACTTAAGGAGGTACTGGATAGAGCGACCGGGATGGTTTTTAATGTGAAGACAACAACAACAACAACTATGGCCTGAGTAGAGTATGGGCAGCCATACTAAACGTAACAGTATGTTTAGTAGAGTATGAGAAGCTATACTAAAGTGATAGTACAGTATAGGAAGCCATACTAAACTCAAAGAGTATGTTTAGTAGTGTATGAAAAGCCATACTAAACCACTTTTCCTTTCTACAATTGATACGGAATTATATCAGGCACCGATGCATCCTCCTTTTGGAGCGTCACACAGCCGCAGAAGGCACCACAGCACGCCATCTGCTGCAGCACTCGTAAACATAGTTAGCTCGCGTATGTAGCGCCGCGTGCATGATGAAGGCACAGATCCATGCTACAAAGCGTGAGAAACAATTTTCACATTGGTTGCTCGTGTCTCGCCAAAAAAGGTGAGAGACAAGTTTGCTGTCGCTTTGGTTCACCGACAATCGAACGAAAGGAGAATTTATCCTTGTTTTTCCCATGTGGAACAACTCTCCCGACATTTCTTGAGCGAGAGCAAACGGCAGTGAGCCCTGGCCTCATAGGGTACCGATGATGGCAGAACCTTGAAGGCTGCCACCCTTACTGATGGAACTCGGCCTGGGTAAGCCTGCTCACCCTCACGTTAGACATATCGCGGGATTTTATCAATGAAAACGACAAGGTTGTCACCGACCAAGCCGAGAAAGGACCAACAACTCGTGCGAGCAAAAAAAATAGTTTGGAAATAAGGTTGTAGATCTACACAGCACATGGTTTCTCATGTGCCTCTGATATTGGCCTGCAGTTTTATGTAGATTAGGAGAAACAAATATACACACAGAAAGACTACCCGTTCGAGGTATAACTACACTCGAAGGGGATGTGTTGAAGTCTTTACAGTGAGTAGAGGAAAACCAGCTGGGTACTTGACTTATTTCGAGTTTGTTTAAGCCTATACACTGATGATTTATATCAGTGATACCAGTTGGTGCTTAGCACAAAAACATCTGCGTAGGTACATTTACATGTGGCCTGCACAGGGAACACGGCGCAATATGTCATGTTGACAGTAGTTGCTGGTTTAATTTAGAAAAATACATATATTAGGAAAAACAAATATGCACACAGAAAGACTACCCGTTAAACACATAAAAGCTCCCTGTTCGAGCGAAAATCATAGTCGTTCGAGGGGGGCTTTTTACAGCAGTATTTAGGAAAAACAAGTATACGTGCAGAAAGGCTACAGCAGTATGCAATAACCGACATACGTTAGTTTATTTACTACAAAGTACTGTTTATTACAGCAGTAGTTGTTGTACCTATTTGAAAAAATAAATATACGTCAGTCTCATTATTTATTTTATTTTATTTTATTTGTTTCTGATTACATTTTGTTTTCTTGTATTTTATTGCTCTGCTGACCCTTGGGGTCCATTTTATTTTGGTATACCTTTTCTAGGTACGTTAGCCTGTGACCACGGAAATTGGCCGAGTCAAGTGATGAATTAGTACGGAGAGATTGAGACAGAAGGAGGTACTGGATAGAGAGACCGGGATGGTTTTTAA